TTTTTAATAATGATTGCGCCATGGACTAAAATTTTGTGCAATGTTAGCGTCATGGGATGTCAATCATATAGATCGACATAAATACGATGCCTTTTTATATTTAGTTACTCGTGTTGGAGAACTGATAATATATTTTAGGACATTTAATACATCTTTTTTCAAAAGACTTTTCCAGTTCCACTTTCGCAGCATGTATTAATTAATCCTTTCCAGAATTTGAAGGAAGTTCTTCAGTCTTTTGCCTCTTGCTCCTCTCACTTGCATTTACGAACGACTTGGATGGTCGCCCTGGCCGTTTTTGTGTATCAACAACAGGTATTTCAACGGAACCTTCCAGCCGACGATTGGTTGTTTTTATAAATTTATCTTCTTTATGATGAGCTTTCGTCCACCTTTGTTTGATTTCTGTTTTGAAATGAGCAAAACTACGTTTCAAATTAACAATTTGGTCTTCATTGAAACCTTCACTTGACAAAATATGATCTTTAAGATATTTTAATTTGGAATGTAAATCAGGCTAATTTTCGTTCTCCATGAGGTCAAACGAGTATTGTCGGGTCAAAATCCCTACTTCCTACACAAACATAAACTGTGTTAAAAGTCGCTAAAAAACATTTTAAATTTTAGAGGAAATTTCGATAAGTATCTTTGATTCTTCAAAAATGTATCTTGCCGGACATATCCGGACATGACTTTGATAGTATTTGTAAGGAAAAGGATCAAATAACAAACTATATTGAAAATAATAGCCCGATCTACCCCGTTACATGAACAAAAACACTAGCAAATAAAAAATATTGAAGAAAATCACATTATGAAAATGAGTTTTTTATTTATAAAAAAAATTATGTAGTTTGATAGTTGATCATAACTTCATTTATGTGATCTGTACGTCTCTTACCCTGTCCATCAGAATCCATAACTTCCAATTCGTAAGAAGAACTTGATGACATAAAAAATCACTTCGTAAGTTGAATGTATAGGCGCCCCGAGAATAGATAAGCTGTTACTTCGACTGAAAATTTTTAAACGTATACACCACTGAAAAGGTTTCTCCCCAGTATGACACCTTTCATGAACTTTCAAAGTTTTCTTCTCATTTCAGTGGGAATGCACTGTATGAGAACTTCTCTACATACTACATAATGGAATGCATGCGATAAACATTCACATCGTTCTTGCACACTTTCGCCGTTTTGAAAATTAATTCAGTGATATATGACGATAAATATCGATTTTTCTCTATTTCTTAGTCAAATCTCATTGTTTTCCTAATGTTCTGAAATATGTATGTCAAATTATTTTTCACTTGTTCCTTCGTTGAAAATTCCTTAAAAAGAATTAATTCTCACACTGTATCATTTTTCATTTGAAATTTTTCACTTCAATTATTTAACTCAAAGAGCGATATACGCCCATCTATATTGATTCCCATCTGTCTCTGAAAAATCAAAGCTGTGCAAGTTTATACGTATATAGAAAATATGTTTATTGAGTAAATGAAAAATATTAAAAAAAAATGTGTTTTCTCAATAGTAATATCTTTCGGAAACGATGAATGGTCATCAATAGTGCAATTCATTCAATACCTGCACTTTCGATATTTCTTGGAAACTACCTATTAAGGTAATGAGATGACGTGTCATTACGTCATGGTAATTGATTTCGAAAAAGTACCTACTCGATTCTGTTTCATATAAATTGGGGGTCAGGTCGAAATAAAGTCAGTTCTGACTGATAGTTGTTACCGTACTGTTATATTTCATCAGTTACGCATTGTGAAGTGATATATTCTTTTAAATTTGGTTTCTACTAATAAGCTGGTGCATTTATAGACCTAACAATGGCAAACGACGATGGAAATAATACTGGAGGACGACCAAAGTGCAAAATATGTTCCAAATCTTTCGCTAATGAACAAACTTTGAAACTGCACGAGAGAATCCATACCGGAGAGAAACTGTTTCAATGTACATACTGTCAGAAGCCTTTCTCACAAGCTAAGACTCTGAAACGTCACGAAAAGAGTCATATAGGAGAAGAGCTATTCCAGTGTGAATTCTGCTTGAAATCTTTCACCCGCAAAGACAATTTGAGAGTTCACGAGAGATGTCATTCTGGAGAAAATCCTTTTCAGTGTGGAACATGTTCGAAATTCTTCAGTACCAGCGGTAGTTTGAAAGTTCATGAAAGGATCCANATTCTGAAAAATATCAGGTGTCAGTAGCCAACAGTACCTGGTATTTTCATCACATAAATCATCTACAGAATTCAGCTGAGTCTCACAGACTTTGACGATGAAGATTCCTGAAGAAGTTTTTGAGACTCACTCTTGATGATTGGTACAAAAAATGCATATTTCTCTTCAAAACGGTGTCCTAAACGGTCATGTTATCTGTTATCAATGTTACCAAGTTCCATGAATTTATGTGACAACGGGTTACGTTACGTAGAAATGTGTATCCTTGGAAATATGAGTTAACATATTTTATGAGTTTTTCACGGGGTGACTCATTCTAGTTGGAAAGCACTGTCTGGGTTCTTTACTATATATAACATAATGAAATACATACCATGCATCAAAGCAATTTCTATTCGTGACATTAGCACTCCCCCTTAGGTTACCATTCACTTTGTTGATTTCGGGCTTCAGCCGTACTGTCATAATCATCGACCAATGTCAGATTGCTGGTTAACACTGGAAGTCACAACATTCTGGGAATGACCTCTGACTTGATACCTCCAACTGTCAACTACGACCTACCTCATAAAGTACTATTTCCGAGTAGAGAGGACTGGATCCCATACTAGCCTGGTAGGCAATAAGGCTGCTGACTTCTTCTTCTGGGGTCATGGTATAAAAATTCAAACTGGTTGAATCCAGCCCAGCTCTGTACACAAAGGAATGAGCGATTTTCCACTTGTCAAAAAGTCTTGATGAGTTACCAGCTGGCTAGATTATCTTTCTATTCTGATGGTTGAGGAGGACTACAACAGACTCATCCGTTAGTATCAGTGTGAGAATGGGAAATGAATAGTTCTAATGGAAGATCATAGACAGGAGTCACAATTACAGAGAAAAAAATCTAGGCTGAAAGGTCTAGGTGAAGTGGAACTTGAAGTAACAAGCGTTCATTCTGCTACTGATACAAACATCAACAATAGTATGGGCGTTAACTTCGAGGGTGGAAGTCATATTTCATTGTTTTCCTAGTATTCTGAAATATGTATGTCGAATTATTTTCCACTTGTTCCTTCGTTAAAAATTCCTTACAAAGAATGAATTCTCACACCGTATCATTTTTCTTTGAAATGTTT